TCCATAGTCTGGCATGGGCTACAAAATTACAATGCAGTGAGAAGAACTGAGGCAGAGGAGGGGGCCCAAAATGCTAGGAGAGCAGAGGAAAGTGAAACGTGGTGTTGAGAAATGACACTTGACTTGCATCTCAAAAAATGAGGATGCAGTCACCAGGTGGGACAAAGAAGAAAAGGCATGTGGAGTTGGGCATCTGTGGATCAAGCCCAGGGGCAGAAAAGCTTAGTCCTCTGCAAAATGGAAGAGTCTGGCAATCCCAGACCACGAGGTGGAAAGGCAAGGCTATGTTCCAGCCAGAGGGCCGAGAACACTGTATCTGAGGAAACCTTCTACAGAGAGTAGCATCAAAGGTTTTTAATGAGGGGAGTCGCAGGATAAAATCATGTGAGAGATCTCTCTGATGATTACAGAGATGCATACTGATGGCAGGAGAGAGATGAGGCCACAGGAGAGGTGGTAAAGACCTGAGATGGGGGGGATGACAGAGAGGATTAGGTAACTGGGCTGGAGACACGTTGTGGTGTGAGGAAGATGAGAGGCAGAACAGGGGTTTCTCCCAGGAGGCTGCTGGGTAGATGCCCAAGGTATTAGCGAAACTATGGAAGGCTGAGAACAAAATAGGGACCACAGCTGATACGTATTCAAACTCTTAGATTTAACGGCAATCCAGTGTTCAATGATTTCAATATAACTTTACCGAACCATTAAATTATTTAAGATACGGATTCCTTGCCTTTCCATGTCAGAGGAAAGTCCTCTGAAAGTGGGACTGATCTATATTTGAAATAACCCAATAATACGAATTTGAGCTAGGAAAGCATATTTAAGGTGTTCTTGGTCCACTCACACTTGAGGAATCCAATCATTTTAGCCGAGCCAAGACTATGAATTTTGTCCAAAGTTATAAAACTGGCCATTAGCAAAGTTAGAACGAGAGCCCACGGCTCCTGACCCCAACGCAGCAATTTCAGTAGAGTCAGGCTTGATCAGTTGAAGAAGGCGGCAGACCATGACCTGAAGGAGGCTGAATCCCTCCCACAACTCTACTGCTTCAAAGAAACCTTATGAGTCAAATAAAAAAGAAAAGTAGATCTTTTTTTTTTTTTTTTAAAGATTTTATTTATTTATTTGTCAGAGAGAGGGAGAGGGAGAGAGAGCAAGCACAGGCAGACAGAATGGCAGGCAGAGGGAGAAGCAGGATCCCTGATGAGCAAGGAGCCCGATGTGGGACTTGATCCCAGGACGCTGGGATCATGACCTGAGCCGAAGGCAGCCGCTTAACCAACTGAGCCACCCAGGCGTCCCAGAAAAGTAGATCTTAATATGGGCTTCAGATTAGAAGTCTGTCAAACATCCAGAAGTCTAGGGATTAGTTTCAAATTTGTAGTTTATAGAACTATGTTGATAGTTGAAGTTTGCCAATGTTGACAACACCCTAAGTGAAGTCAACATTAAAGAATGTTTCACCTTTCCAACATTTTAATTTTGCTGTGGGCCTGGCTTCCCAAAGGCTTCAGAATAATTGACACATGCACTGAAACAACTTTAGTTCTATCCCCAGCTGAGGTGATGATAGGAAAGCAACTATTCCGCATATAAATCTTAATCGCCATGTAAAGATGGTCTCTAAGTTTACACTATCACGAATAGGAAGTAGAGGAATTATGTTTTGTGTGTGTCATTCATGGGCTGATGGTTGAGTCTAGTTTGTGGTAATGAAATTAAAGAATTTTCTTTTTTTTTTTTTAAGATTTTATTTATTGATTTGACAGAGAGACAGAGATCACAAGTAGGCATAGCGGCAGGCAGAGAGAGTGGGGGAAGCAGGCTCCCTGCTGAGCAGAGAGCCCGAGGCGGGGCTCGATCCCAGGACCCTGAGATCGTGAACTGAGCTGAAGGCAGAGGCTTAACCCACTGAGCCACCCAGGCACCCCTAAAGAAATCATTTTCATCAAATATTTAGAACACCAATAAAATCATTTTAAATTAAGAATGTTGACGATATATAAGAAATGTAATCATGAAGTTATCAAAAGTTAGGCGAAAATGTAAGTTCAGGCTATTTAGTGACTCATCGCCCCAAGGTGCTCTGGCTACAAAGAGACACTCAGTGAGAGGGAAAGTGAAGACAGACGTCCCCATGTTCACAGCCCAGAACATCACCACAATCTCTGTTCATGACCATTGTGCCCACAGAACACTGCCACCCCACACTCCACCCAACACATGAATGCCAGCAAGGTCACTTCTTGGGGTTTAATGGAAAACTACCCACAACTTATTTAAACATACTTATTTTAAATATGCTTGAATTCACTATATATGCTATACAGTACACTGGGAATACTGTAGAAGCCATTCTGTGTCCAAGATTTTAAATTATTCTGAGAGCATGCAAAGGACAGAGTGGAAGAGTGTTTTTCTAACATTAAAAGAATAGAATCCCTGTACTTCCTTGAGAGGGGTGAGTTAGGAGCACTTTGATGCATCAGCAATACTGTGTAAGCTGGTTTCTGTGAGGTCCGCCCAGCAACTATAAAACCCTCTGGCTCTTCCGATGGAGAATCCGGAACATTCCCTTCCTTATTTGGTTAGTGACTGTTCTCAGTGCCTGCAGGTGGGCTAGATGGGCTGCCTGACCAGAAAGAGCCCCACACAGCCACCCCATTTATTACTGTATCCAGATCAAAGGATCTTGGTTCTGTATCTTTGTGGAAGCTCTTTAGAAAGTGATCTACCTACCTTTTTTTTTTTTTTACATTATAGGAAACTGAGTTTTAGAAAAATCAGCTGGCAAAATTTATCACAAATTCTAAGGCTGTTAGACCTGTGTTACACTATGAATATGGTTAAAATGGTTTCTGGAGTAGAGTCCAAACTGTGAATTTAATCAATTAAGAAGACCACGTTGTCTTATATGGTGACCACAACCTGGCTATGCTCTGTGTATTTTTGGTAAGATGGATTTAGTTCCTTAGAAAAGGGCAGAAAACACAAGATGGCTCTCACTGGTTTAAAAAAGCGAGCATTTTATGACATTGCAGCGGAACTTTATGGATTTTCCAGTCCACCCACTTCAACATTTTATATTTACTAATAAAAGTATTTCATTTTCATTGTCTTTGCTACCTTTTACCTTGGTCATTGCTGTGTATCAAGTGACTAAATTTAAACCAAATAAACACAAAGATAATGAGGTCTAATCAAGGACTACTGGTGTAGGAACCAAGAGATCTAATTCCTAACAAAATCCCTTGAATAAGAAAATAAAAGTTGTAAAATATAAAACATATACAAGTAAATATTATCTATTCCTCCTATAGGCAACAAGCTAATGCATGGGGAAAAAAAATTTTCCCCCCAAATTAGGTCCTATCATTTTTTTATAACTTTAATGAAAGAGCCTTAGGCTTACCTAGGAACATCAAAGCTAGAGAACTGCTAGATAATTGTAGAACTTAACTCTGGACAGAGTTAACACTTGGTTATTATATTTAAATTCTCCTTCAACTGCTACCCTACAACTTCAGTGTTTTTATAAAGATTCTAGTATGTGGGATGACATTATCAAAGTGACCTAATAAATAAGAAGGCCAGACAGGCTGGTGCTCTAGCTTCTTCAGTTTCATTTTAACTAATGTTAAATGACATTTTCAGGATTGTTTGGATTCTGAATTTTTTCTCAAGTCCAGCACTGGGCAGGGCTTAGAGAAAAAGCTGGCCTACTGTCACTCCTGGAGGAGGGTCAAGCACGGGGGTCAGCCCTCTTGGGACACTCTACACGATCCTTACAGAGATGAAAGGCTCTTTATCACCGAGGAATCACGACAAGAAAAGCAGGAATAGGTGTGTCTGCAGTGTCCTGTGTCCCTGAGGCTGAAGTCAGAGGACTGGGTTTGAGAGGAACAGCATTTCAGGTGACTGTTATTACCTTCTTTCTGTATTCCATTAATCTTCGGTTGGTCCAGGTCCTCTGTGTAGCACACATAGGAAGGCCATGGCCAGTCATGCCATTCAGAATTTTCACTGAATTTTGCTTGTCTGAATTGCAAATATCTTAGAGGAGCATAAAAAAATGCGAGGGCACTGTGGCCTGTGTGTGGAGGGTAAATCAGCATCCTCAGAGATAAAGCACAGTTACTATCAGGTAAGCAAAACATAAAAACTCAGTATTCCTAAGTAAGAGTTCTCCAATGTTTGCTTTTTAGCTTTTTTTTTTTTTTTAAGATTTATTTATTTGAGAGAGAGAGAGAGAGAGAGAGAGGGCATGGACAAGCCTGCCTCTACGAGCAGGGGGAGGGGCAGAGAGAGAGGGAGACAAGCAGATTCCCTGCTGAGTGGGGAGCTAGACATGGGGCTCTACCCTAGGACCCTGAGACCATGACCAGAGCCAAAATCAAGAGTTGGGCGCTCAACCTACTGAGCCTCCCAGGTGCCCTTTTCAGCTCTTTTTTAAAACAAGGAATTCCATAAGCTGCCTTCAGCATTAAGGGAAAGCTCACAGGCTCTAGCTCCTCACCCCTCACCCCTCACCACCACTTACATGTCCTCCCCCAACGCATCCCCCAGTAAGACTTTTAATGTTCTTTTTTTTTTTTTTAAGCCATAGAGAAGGGATGCTTGGGTGGCTCAGTCAGTTAAGTGTCTGCTTTTGGCTTACATCATGATCCAGGGGTGCTGGGATTGAGCCCTGTGTCAGGCTCCCTGCTCAGCAGGAAACCTACTTCTCTCTCTGTCTGTCCCCCTGCTTGTGGTCTGTCTTTCACACTCTCTCAAATACGTAAATAAAATCTTTTAAAAAAAATAAGACTCCTTGCCGAGCAGGGAGCCCAATGTGGGACTCTATCCCAGGACCCTGGGATCATGACCTGAGCTGAAGGCAGATGCTCAACCAACCAAGCCACCCAGGTGCTCAATAAATAAAATCTTAAAACAAACAAACAAAAACCAAAAAAACACAGAGAAACTTTGTAAAATGAACATGCAACCAGAGTCATTACCTCCAAGGAGTCACCTTCACAATCACCTTCCTCCGTGCTTCTCCCCTTCTCCTCAGTGATGGTGTTCACCATTTCAAAAAACCTACAAGGAGAGCTGGTATGTGGTCACTCAGAATACATCTGATATTAAATACAAGCAAGTATGTTCCAACGTGACTTTAGAGCCAAAAAGGGGAATGAAGAGACTTTCTAAAAAACCAGACAATAAACTATCAGTATCAACACGAAAAATAGGATTTTTCAAAAAGAAAAAGACAGGCTGGTAGAATTGTCTACCTAATGCCTCACCTCAAATAACAGTAGTGTAATATAGATTTAGAACAATGAAGCTAGACAAATTCATAGAGATGTGAAGATTGTGGGACTTGGATGTCAGGCCAAGATTGTTAGTATTTGTGTTACTTGGGGCAAGCTCCTCCACCTCTCTGGGCCTCACCCCTTCATCACGACAGGGTCTATAGCAATATCTAACTTAAAGGTTGTTAGGAAGACTACTTGACATAATACTTGTAAAGTGCTTTACAGAATGCATTTATTAAAATAAGCTACTATCATTTTGCTGATGGTCATATTATTATTTAAAATGGGAATTAACAAAAATACCCATAATCTGGAATAGTGTCTCTAAATTCTGAGGTGATTATTTGATATAGTGTGGGCCACTACAACATCTGATGTCAGTCATTAAATATTTTGCCTTTACTATCATAAATATGGTGTTCTGTAAACACAGTCTGCAAAACACCAATATGAATTAGGAACACCTGGCTCGTATGTTTGTGAAAGAAGCCACCTCTTTTTTGGTGACATTTTCTTCAGGAAGTCTTCTTGTGAAGTTTTTTATTTTCTTCTTCTTCTTCTCCTTTTTTTTTTTTTTTTTTTCCTGTAGACCATTTAAGAGCCAAGAAAAATAGTCACAACAAGAAACAGATTTGCTCCCTGTAACACTAGCTGTGTCTAGTCTATGCAGAGGGGTTGCTAACAGTTCACAAACTTAAAGCATGGGAGGCACGATGACTAGAGGCTGATGATCTCACACGCAGGTCACACACTGCACTGCCAGCCTAAGGGAAGAGCAGGTTATGTGGGATAAGAAAAATCTACTTTCTATAACTCAGAACGTTTTTTTCTATCTCTGTACCTCTTTTTTTTTTCTGTACCTCTTTTTAATCCATCCATCCATCCATCCAGCCAGCCAGCCGTCCCCCCGTCCATCCATCCATCCAAAAAATACTCATCGAGTGTCTACTAGGATAAAAAAACTATTCGGCCTTTGGAACTGTGACAAGGAACAAAATAGACAAAGCCCATTTGGAAATTTGGAACCTATCTATGGAGTTTGCATGTGGTGCCTACTTCCCTACTTTTCCTTTCTCTGTATACATTTCTTGGAGGTCACTGACAAGAAAAAGAAGTTCCCAAGTCTGATCAGAGTAATAGTATGCCCTAGGGAAGGTTAAATATCCTGATGAGTTAGAGACAAAGGCAAATTCAACCAAGAGGAAGAAGAAAGTGAAAAACCTTTAAAAAAAAAATCTGACTTTAAAGACAGACTTAAAGATCTGGGGTAAAGACTTCCATCAGCTATTCACACAAAGTTTTTATGAACATCTCTAAGCAGAATATAATACAGTGGGATGGGAACACTAATTTTTTGGAGCCTGGATTCTAGAGTCCCATGTACTTGGTCCAAATCCCAGATGTTCATTTTTTACTATATATGATTTTAAGTTCATTGAACTGTTTAAGACTCTTTTCAATGAAGATGTTAATATTAGCTACCTAACAGTTTTTATTTGAAGATTAAAGCAGATATTAGATCTGGGATATGTACGCCATAAATCCTGGCTATCATTATCATAAAAACAAATCAGTAGCCTTGAGAATTTAAGTAGAAAATCAGACCATAGGGGTGCTTGAGTGGCTCAGGGGGTTAAGCCTCTGCCTTTGGCTCAGGTCATGATCTCAGGGTCCTGGGATCGAGTCCCACATTGGGCTCTCTGCTCAGTGGGGAGCCTGCTTCACCCTCTCTCTCTGTCTGCCTCTCTGCCTACCTGTGATCTCCGTCTGTCAAATAAATAAATAAAATCTTTAAAAAAAAAAAAAAAAGAAAAGCAGACCACATGTGTGCTAAGAATTACTTCTTATTTCCAAATCTTTTTCTATATATTTTATAATAATAAAGATAAAACTATAACCATATAGTTCTATAACTGACTATAGAATTACAGATTTATAAATTTTTTTTGGTACCAAGATAAAAATAACTGTATACTGTAACTAGTATATTAGTCATTTACCATGGGCTCAGATGGTGATTATTTGAATAAGAACAATCCTCAGGAAAATTTTAAGTCTAAGCTGGCTTTTACCTGCACTTTGGTTTCTAAATTGTTACTCACTTGCCTAGGTCCCCACAGTCAGTCACTATGTCTTAAGGGAGCACGAAGTACTTAATTATTAGCTCAAGAGAAATACACCCAGGGAGGTTAACACAAGCATACAGTGCAATGCATGGATTTTTGGACTGTCTTTTATGGGTATAGATCAGATCACTGGCTCTTAACTCAAGCTGTACCCCCACCAGGAAATCCAACATAATTCGTCAAGGGTAGGGCCCAGGCACTTGTTAAAATGCACCAGCTGATTCTAATCTGAACCAGAGTTAAGAGCCCCTGTTCAAAGAATTCAAGAATGAAAAATTTGGTAATCATCTATTGCAATAAGTGGGCACTTTAAAAATGAGACATTAACAGTTGGTCATTAACTGGCAGGTCTTGGTTAATGTTTTATCTGTGGAAAAATAAATTATGACTAAGAAAAAGCATGGTTTATTAAAGAGAGCTCTCCCCCCATTCTCTGATTGTTAAACATACCCCATAATTATAAACTATTAGACCAAATGAAATATTTATACAACCACACAGCCACAAATTCCTTATAGGAGCTACATGTTCACTCATTAATTAAAAATAATGATCAGGTAAGAACAGTATTTTTTATACCTAAACAATGATGAATACGTACTTTTTACAATGCAGTTCTGTACAGAAATAGATTTGGAAATCGTCAGAATTATGAAGCACGTAAAGAAAACAGCATCGCTCTTCAAATTTAGAAATACTGAAAGAAACAAAAAGAATTATTCAGGGAAACAGCAATACTTCTATGAATGTGCAGTGCAAAATAAATACCTTTTATATCCAATCCCCATTATGATATCAGTGTTGTTTATAACAAAAAGATATAAATAGCACTTGAAAAAGTGATGTTTCCCCCCATACCACAATACTAATTACTTAGGAGTCTGAGAATTGTGCTCCTACTCATATCTGCGGGTGGGGTCGCTCTGGGGGGCTGTAAGTACACCTCCGCTATGTATCCCTCCAACCGAGCACGGGAAATTGTCCTGCCTGCTACAGCACCACACTGTAATACGGGAGAAAAGGCAGAAGTATGGAGTGGCTGACTGAGCTCCGCGATTCTAGTTCTTTCGCATCTACAGAACAGCGAAATGTTTCCAAAGCCAGGAAGGCAATGCGGGGAGGCAGTCAAAGCACCTCATGGATTGTAGAGATTTTAGAGGTGTGAGGAAATGTGAAATGGCACTTGGTTCTGACTCAGCAAGCGATTTTATAGCAACTGAAATAATTTTGAGTCTACCATTCAGGCCATGCTGGTTTATGCCAAAGGTTAGCAAATATTTCCTGTAATGGGCCAGAGAGTAAATATTTCAAATTTGGGTGTTGGAGCAGTCTTAGGCAATACACAAATGAATGAACATGGCTGAGTTCCAATAAAACTTTATTTACAACAACAGGCAGTGGGCCAGATTTGGCCTGTGGACCCTCCTTTGTCAATTCCTATTTTATGCCTTTGCATCTGCTGTTCCTTCAATTTGGAATGCACATCATTTTTGACTTTTTAAAGAAATTCTACTCCTCATTCAAGGCCCAGCTTAGATCCTACCCTCTCCCTTCCCTACTTCTACCTTAAACAGAAAGACTTTCCCTTGCGCCTCTGTTCCTTAAACATAGATCTGTCATTGCTTGGCTCACTGTCAGCTCAATAATGACTGTATGGTCCTTCCTTGTTAAATGTTCCACTGATGGGTTGTGAGCTCTTTGAGAGTGCGAGTTCATGTCTTAGTCATTGTTGTATTAGCAGAATAGGACTCAACATTTGACATACAGCTGGTGCTCAATACATGCCTGTTGACTGAGCTGAGCAAGCAAGTTCTGAGATGATGCAAGACAAACTGCTGACTCAGGTTTTTGGTGTGGTTTTTCTTTTGTGGTTATCTCTTTATAAAGGAGGAAGCCAAGAAAAGTTAGCTCCCTCTGAAGACACACACTGCAGCTTAAGTTTCTCACCATATAAACCAGCAGGAAGCCATCTGGGAGGATTCTACATATATGCTGCAAGTCACAGCGAAAGTTTATGGAGTGATGCCATTTTAATTTAAAAAATTTCATTGGAAAATAGATATGATAAGGTGAAATTTCTATTACTGTACTTTCCTAAACTGTTTAGAAATGCAGTAATAAATAACAATTGCCTTGCTAATGACTGGTTTTAAAAATTAAATATTAAGAGAGTAAAACTTTATTTGAGAAGGCATTGGTTGGAAAGATAGCAAATGAGTCAGTCCATTATCTTGCTTGTTTCTCTGCAGATCCCTCAAGAGGTAACAGGTGGTTTAACCAGGCAAACTCCAATTATCAGTGACTCAGACGGCCCTACCAGTTCATGCTCCAACAAAACCAATTATTATTATGCCAAAAACAGCAGGGTATTGTGTAACCAGCCTCCAGAAATCTGTTTTTTCTCATTTCTCTTTATTATGTGGAGATAAATAGTAGTAAACACAAGTAATTTGGTTTGAAATTTCCAAGAGTTGGTTTAGCCTGAGCTTCTATAAAGTAAGTATTTAAATGTTTAACCAGTGGCTCTTGGTTCTGGAAAAAATCTCATTTCTAAATCCCAGGAAATAGCATTTCCTGACCTACTGGCTTTATGATGGCAACGTCAGAACGGAACTAAACTGAAGCGAGCCACTATAATCTCAAGAACACGTCATTAGCAGCAAGCCGAGGAAAGGTTTTTAAAAAATGAATTTCTCATAGTCTCACTAATAGGTTATGTTAACTCTAGGACACAGTGTGATCGATGGCATGTGGATTTTTTGGTTACACTTAAGAAGAGATTAGTTCCTGGCATCTCAAACGACTAGAAACCCATCCTAGCACATAAACCCACAGCTCAACCAGCTAGAAAGGACCCGAATAGCTCACTTTTATCAACACCTTGATTCTGGTCCACAGTCCACTTTTAGCCCTCGTTCTCCACATCTGAAGCAGGTGACAGGCACAGAGTCAGTTCAACTAACAAAGCTTTGTTACAGATGTTTTCATAACAAAGACAGAAAAGGAGGCTGAGCATTTTCATCAAGAGGATTCTTCAAGTTCTCTGCATTTTTAAATCCTGACTAAAAGTTCTATTGTCTTCTAAGTAAAAAAAAAAAAAAAAAAAAAAGTACCAAGTAAACTTACCTCACTCCCCTGATAGAAGCAGCACTAAAATTCCACTCATGTATACCTTTCTAGAACACAGGGGAAGAACGACAAGAACAACAAACATTGAGTCATCCGAATGAAAATAACATAATTTTGTTTTATTATTTTAAAATAATATACACAGAATAATTTTTCCCAGTGCATAATTCTTTAATAATCTGGATGGAAATTGTAATTCATTTCCAAGCCACAAGGGTGATGTTTACACTGCTTAATAATTTCTGTACTTCAATAAAACAGCTTCCAAGAGAATCTAGGGGAATTATTCTCATTAAATCCTAAAAAACTTGATCTTTAGCAAATTAACCTAATAACTGTCGTGTCTTAATTTTTTAAATAAAAACCCAGTGATCAAGGTAATTCAATTATTATAGCTGAGTAATATTTCTTTTCTGAGAAAGAAAAACATTAATTTGAATAAAGCCTCTGCAAGGCTTTACAGATGATTATATGTGAATTACCTTTAGTTAAATTTTCAACTGAAATGGTAGTTCTATTTCTCCATAAAATAATACACCAAGTATGTCTGTAGTACATGCATGCAGATAGTGTCTGTCATAGCTACAATGCCTTATGACCTAATTTATGCAAAATTCAATATAGTAATAAAGTCTGAACATAAAAATTTGATTGTCATATGATAAACATGGGTGATTGCAGGGCCAAGATGAAAAAAATGTGGAAATTTATTTTTTTGAGTTTATTACTCAAGCTAAGTTTAAATTATTACATTCATGTCTTTAAATTAAATAAATTACAAATTGGATCCCATTCCCTATAAAAATATGTCTGGTAACAACACAGAATTGACAACATAAATATTTTAGTAGAAATAAAGTAGTCGATACACATGTCCAAGTTTAGCAAGTGCTCTACAATAGTCCATTCAGATGGCCAATTCAACTTTGTAAATGGGAAACAACCAGGAAAACAAGCTCTTACCCACCCACTTAAAATACTGCCAGGAGCTTGAGGTCTTGGCTGGACTTGTGAAATGGGTAAGGAAGCCTGTGGCTCTGAGGTGGACCAGAACTCTCCTTTTGGCTGAAGCAAATCAAAAAGCCACAATTTACATCCACAGCACCTAGTTCTTTGCTAGGACCATGCAACTTAAAATAAAAATAGAACCTCCCAAGCCCAAAGGAGATGTACGAAAAAACTAGTTTCAACGCACACCAGTCAGGTCATGGGTATGCGACCTGAATTAACACAGAGCAAATGTTGTGCATGAGCCCAGGAAAGGAAGGGACCATGGAAAGGTGCTCCTGGAATGTGGCTCTCTTTCACCAGAGTACAGAGGGAGTTAAATTAAAATAGCACCCTGCAGCTTCAGCTGGTAATATGGAAAGTTGGTTCTAAATCCTGGTGGCCTCAGGTGACCTTCTAAATAGATGGGACCCCAGAGCTGCAGCTGTTACCCGCATGCTACTCGAGTACAGTTCAGCCTTATCCTCAGAGCCTGCGTCCAGGATCAGGAGGTGGTGGAGGAAGGCAGAGCTAGTAGGGCACTTAGGCAAACATGCAACTGAACAGGGAAACTGGGAAACACCCACAGGACAGCGCTGGTAAAATCTATCTCATATCAGCCCTGTTCTGGGAACAGGCAAGGAGAGATTTCCCAGATAGATTGGGCTGGGTTTGTAGGAAAGGAGAACAGCATTTCCAGAATGTTAGGTTCCTGAAAGGTTGCAAGTGCTGCTAGTGAATGTTCTATCATACTGGTGTGAAGCCCAGGGCCTGCGATGGAGATCTGGAATAAGGAGGCCCAGCACCCCAGCGCCTTTGCTACTAGGACTCACCACATGGAGGCGCTGGTGAGCTACAAGGCCAACAGGTGCAGTTAAAAAGTTTCTGGGGCCTGTCTGGAAATCTGGGGAAAGGAACTGCCAAAGGCAGAGCTAGAATAATTAGCCTCAGCAAGCCCCAGACCGACACTCAAGCTGACTCGGCACAAGTACCATACTGTAGGAACTGGTTAGTGTCAGATCCTATGCCCTCGTCTCTAGAGTGGGGACTAGGCGTTAACACTGAGCTAAAATGGCGGGAGTTCTCCACTGGCAGATACTGTTCACTCCCTAGACAACAGACACGCTCTTCCTTGTTTGCTAAGGAGAGCTGAATGTCGTTGGCATTCAGGTGGCCGTGTTTAGCAATGAGGGGTAATGATTGGTCTAAATCGGCAATGTAAGTCCATTCTCCTTGCTAGTGATTGGTTTAGGCATGAACACATGGCACAATTTATGATACAAAAGGAGGGCCGGACCCTTTTCCTTGGGAAGCTGTGTGTGAACGGATGCTTTGAGCTGCTATTTAAGACAAGGAGAGAAAAATCAAGAGCATATAGAGAAGCCACCCGAGAATTCTGATACTGTTCAACCGCTGACACACCGGCAGCATGATCCTCTGCCCCTGAGAAGTTCCTGTTATGTGAGATAACATTTCCTTATCTGTGAAGCCACTTTTAGGTGGGAGTTTTGTATCTAAAAGCATCCTTGTTGGATGAGACGATCATATCATCAAAATCTAGAATCTGAGGTAAACATATTCCCCTCATAAATTTCCTGGGTATTCGCAGAGGGGCCATGGCTGGAGCCAGTGTTAGGTCAGCACCTCATATTCCACTGGGACCCTGCTGCCTGCTACCTTTCCCTGAGAGACCACCAGACAGGACAGGAGTACTCAGACTCCAAAAAAAGAAGGGATTCTAAATAACAACCATTTAAAATATCTTAGAAATGTTTCTCTTCCTCAGTCTAAGTTTTTCTTTCCTGTGCACACGCAGACTTTTTTTCAAGTACTAACTTGACTTCAAACAACAACCAACCATTGAACAAAGGGAGAACTGTTTAAAGATTAGGATTTCAATTTATTTTGTCCTTGACTTAGAGTAACTTCCTAATAAGAGTCCCGAGACTCTTAGGAATTGGTATAATGATATTAACGTTTTGACCGCTGCAATATAAAGTATATACTAGCTGTTCATTCCACATTTTAGAATGAAAATCCTGAGAGAAGGAGTAAAGAAATAAGCGATAAATGAAAAGCAACATGCTCTGCTCTATTCTTAGAAAAAAATTTAAAACTTTTTATGACAAGGGGTGCCTGGGTGGCTTGGTTGATTGGGCCTCTGACTCTTGATTTTGGCTCGGGTCATGGTCTGTTGGGGGAGGGTCAGGATTGTGAGCTCTGTGGGGAGATTGCTTGGGATTCTCCCTCTCCCTCTGCCCCTCCCCCCAACTTCTATTCTGCAGCTTGCACTTGCACGCGCTCTCTCTCAAAAATAAAATCTTAGGGACGCCTGGGTGGCTCAGTTGGTTAAGCGGCTGCCTTCAGCTCAGGTCATGATCCCAGAGTTCTGGGATCGAGTCCCACATCGGGCTCCTTGCTCAGCGGGGAGCCTGCTTCTCCCTGTGCCTCTGCCTGCCACTCTATCTGCTTGTGCTCACTCTCGCACTCTCTCTCTCTGACAAATAAATAAATAAAATCTTTAGAAAAAAAAATAAAATCTTAAAAAAAAAAACCCATCCTATGACAAAAAGAATCCATTTTTAGTTTAACATCAGATCTATACCACTGCTATTTATCTGTTATTAGTTATAGTTATTCCAGTTGCTTTAAACTAACATAATATTAGCAGAGTTATCTTATTTTTATTATCCGTCCTCATTCCAATGGTAACACTTCTATTTCAAACAGCACAGACAAAGACAGTGGTAATGAACATGCTATGGATAAAACCAGGGTTTGCAAAGAAACTGACATAACATTCAACATGGAAACTGATTTAAGAAAGCTTAAATTTTTGAACAAGGAGAATTTTTAGCACAGTGGGGACAATGCAAATGTAATTCTTCTTGATCAAAAGATGGTAAAAGTGGAAACTGGACAACTCACGGCCCAATTCCATAACCCTTCTTAATGAACTCTTTTACATCTTCATTTATTTATTTCTCAGTATAATACAAAAATTGTCCCTACAGTTGTCACAAAACATGAGAGTCAATACAAGGCTAACTTTATTCAACAAAGAACTTCCAGACAACTAGCTGGAAATAGTACTCATTTTCCAAAAATCTCTGGCTTACTTTCTGTTCTTTTTCTGTCTTCTGGCTGTCCACTCATTCTCCTGGCCCTGCTAATTGCTAATTCCTTTAGTCCCATTCTGTTTCCAAGTGTCCTTGGATAACCTTGCTCTTTCCAATCAAGCCTTTGAAAATCACCTCTCCCAGATAATGTTCCTGTTTCCTAACCTCTTAGATTTTGTACTTTCTACAGATGATTACTTCTGCTTGTGAGAACATACAGCCATATACTTTAAAATAATGTAAATAAAACACTGTGTACTTTAAACAATGTGAACAACATGTATATAGTTACATTAGTTATTCTTGGTTTTGTCTCTAGACAATTCCACCTGGAGTTATGCCATCATCCCGGCCATAGATGGGGGGCTCCAAGGACCCCCTTCTTGTGTTTGACTAATTTGCTACAGTGGCTCATAGAACTCGGGAAAACATTTTAGTTACTAGATTACTGGTTTATTATAAAAGGATATGACCCAGGAAATAGCCAGATGGACAAGATGCATAGGGCAAGGTATGGAGAAAGGCTAAGAACTTCCCTGTACTCTCTAGGGCTGCCATCGTCTCCAAATCTCCACTTGTTCACCCACCTGGAAGCTCTTTGAACCCGTCCTTTTTGGGTTTTGGCGGGGGGGGGGGGGGCGCTTCATGACGTAAGTATGATCAATTAACTCCACCGACCATGGGAGATCCATTCAATTTATCCCTTCCCCACCCCCGCCACCAGGCGTAAGGGGTAGGACTGAAATTTCTAATCCTCTAATCCCATAGTTGGTTCTCTTGGAAGGCAGGCCTCATCCTTAGGTGGGTCCAAAAGTCATCTTATTAACATAATAGAAAAACACTTTTATGGCTTTGAGCGCTTTGGAAATTCTAAGGGCTTTAGGAAATCTGTGCCAGAAGTGGATGAAGACCAAATCCTTATTTCTTACTATAGATTACAA